TAGTTTATCATTGTTTTGCATTGATTATTATTATTATTATTAATTATTATTATTATTATTATTATTATTTTATGTCATGCGCGTCCTGTCTCCTGTTCTCTCTCTGACATTCCAAACCAGGTCCCTTCCTAGTTCTGGGGCTGCCTGAGTCTAGAACCCTTCGTTGGCGTGAAAATTTTGTGTCCTGTACAGAGTGACAATAGAAATAAATGTTTGGTTTCTTGTGACCAGCACGGCGTGTTTTTGTTGAAACCTTGATGTAAAGATACAGACGAATGCCACCCAGCGTATATTTTAAGCATCTCAGTCCATTCGGCCTCACATTGTATGTGGTTGAGGATTTTTTTTCGAAGGGTCCAAGGAGAATTTCTATCTCAGAGGACTCCAAATTGTGGTAGCTGGTTTGTTTTCCTTTTGGGGTGGGTGTGTTTTGTTTGGGGCTTTTAATTTTTTCCCTCCAGTCCAAAAATGGATTGAAAGTACTGGGAGGGCCAACTCCAATCCCTAATGGGGGGAAAATGTTTCATTGTAGGACACGAGAGGCTTAAGTATGGCAAAGCCTTTCATATCGTGATTTATTTGTCATAAGCAAATAAAATGCGGTTAAGCTGTCTCTTTCTAGACAGACGGCTCTTTGCTTATTAAGGTTCGGAGGGAGGATTTCTGCGAGGCCGGCCTCTTTCCTCCCGCCTAAGAAGGTATCGTTTTCCTCTGAGGTGTTTAAAGCTTTAATGAGTCTAATTTTTTGCACAGATGTTTCTGGGTGTTTGCAGGTTTTCAGAGTATTTTTATATTACAAAGGAGCTAGCCGGTGCCATAGCTCAAACTCTGACAAGCAAATAGATAATCAAGAAGACAAATGGCCTCTTTTGTGAAGCCCTGCTCCTGTATTAATTTTCATTTTCTTTCTCATAGAAAGTATCGAAAGTACGACCGGGGACCAAATAGCTTTCTGTCTCTGAGGTCCCAGTCACCCCTAGAATGGAGTGGGGGAAGGGGGTGGGGGTGCCGATGACCCTCACAAGCTCTGTCGGGCTTGGGCCGTTTTGGGGCAGCACCCAAGAGATGTGCTTAAGGTCCGAGGGCTCCAGCCTCGGGGTCTCTGGTCTTGTGGTGGCCCAGGATACAGCCACCCGCCTCCAAAAAACTTGGGGCTCGAGAGAGCATATGCAATTAAAAGTCGTTTTTCAGTCCCATCTCCCTCCAGAAAATAAACATAGCTGATTCCACCAGCACGTTTTTTACTGTTATTTCTTTTGTATTCCTCCGGTTTGCAGCGCCCGGGAGTTTGAGGCTGGGTAGGGCCTGGGACACACAGGGCCGGTGTCCACAGCACGGGAAAGGGCGCTGGAACTGCCCGTTGAAATGCTCCTGGAGGTCTCATTTAAAAAAAAAAAAAATTGACAGGACCTGGAGGCGAGCTTTGTTTTGGTCGAATCGCGGTGTGATGTTTAACTGCCAAAGGGATACCGCCCTTAGTGGAGGGGGAAAATAGTCCTTAAAAAGCATATGCCCCCCCCAGGAATGTCTCTATAGAACCAAATCAAAGCTGCTCCTTGGAAGGTATGAATAGAATAAAAAAAAGATTTCTATGGAGCTTAAAGTTCACAGCCATTCTGTGTAGACAAGAGCTAAGAAAAATGTGAGAATTATACAGAAAACCATTAATCACTTCTTTTCTTTAAATACGTATCCTCTCTCCTTTGTTATTATTCAACAGCAAATCTCCGCAGACCGGCTGTTGGGGGAAAAAAGTGTTAGCTGGCTCTCCCGGATCTGCGAGGGGGAAAAAATTTGGAACCATAAAGTTGAAAACTTTTTTCTCTCAGTTTGGAAGAAGCCCTTCGTCATGAATGGGATCCGCAGAATTCAGGCCAGAGGAGGCGAGAGGCGCAAAGGTAACAAAGCCCCTGCCTGGGCTGCCTTTTTTTTTTTTTTTTTTTTATGGTGGATGCTTGGTCAGATTTGCTGCCTTTTATGATGACTGATGCTCGGGTCAGAGGGAGAGAGAGGGGCCTCACACCTGGAGAGTGTTTGAACTGCTTGGGACTGAGGTGTCAGGACCCCTGAAAAACCCCAGAGAGGGTGGTTTGTGAGGCAGCTCTCAGAAGTGCTTTTTCGGGTTTCAGAAAATGCAGGCGGGCCTGGGGGGGGGGCAGCGTGTGTGCATGTGTGCGTGTGTGGTGATGTGCACATGTGGCCCGTGTGTTCTGTGACTTCGCTTGTCTACACTGGTGGCTTGCGTCCCATATGTCTGTTTACCGGTGAGATGTTGTCACTGCCGCCTCCTGGAAAAAATGGAATGCAGTTCTTGGATGGAATGCCCCAGGCTTGGAGCAGGGTATAGGTAGATGTCGGTTTGTTGTCGTTGTTTTTCCTTTCCTTCTTTTTGTGTCTAGCTTGGGATTCTAGACAAATATTTGCAACTCTGGAGCAGGAAACTGTTCCGTTTACAGGCGACGTTCGTTGATGCCGGAATCTTCCTTTTCAACTCTGCCCCCCTCTTCTTCCTGGAGGCTCAGTGTTCAATTTGGTTTCCTTTTGCTCTCTTGTTTTGGGGTCTCTGTTCCCCCTTCTGGGGCCCTGCTTCTGAGGGTGAGGTAGCCAGTGGGCTGTGCCCGAATGTGCTGGCTCTTTTACCCTGGGGCTCACTAAGGGTTTGGAGGCAGGAGGCTGGCAGGAAAGTTCATGGAGAGGCCACGTTTTCTAGGCGATTAGCTCAGTATTAGAACCACAAAATGACCTCGGAAGCCCCTTGACCTCTCTGAGACTGGACAGTGGGCTGGCTCCTGCCTCCTGCCCAGGAGGGAAAGTCCTACCTCTGCAGGGAGGGGTACTTTGAGCTGTTGTCGTGGCCCCACCTTCGTCATCTCCCTCTAGCCCCCAACCCCTTCTTTGCTGACTGGGAATTTCTGGATTGTTTTTCTATTACTGTCCCCTGGGGAGAAAAGGAGTGAAAATTTTAGCCCTGGGGTGCAGTTGGGGGAAGGGAGTAGGGTGCTGATCTGGATCTCTGTGTAGGACTCCTTCCCTAGGCCAGGTTCTAACCACCGCTCCCCCCCCCCCCATGTCCAGTTCATCTCTTGTTTCCTGTTTCGCTTGGAGGGAGCGGAGGGAAGAGAGACAAAGGGAGACGATATGACAGGTCCACAGGGCTTCAGGGGGCTTAAGGGACAAGCCCCTGGGTTCTCAAGAGAGGGAAGGCTCCCCACTAACAGTCCCTTGGAGGTTACTGTCTCTCAAGGTCTGATATCCAAATTCACAGCTTCTTAACCCATTTTTCTGAAGTTCCTTTGTTTAGGAGACTATTCCTGCAATCTCTTGTGCCCCCTTCCCCTAATCCCCAGTCTCACCCCAGCTTCTCACACAGCCCATGGATACCTTCCCACCAGAGGAGCAGGAGAGATGGGAGAAGGGTCAGTACAGGCTGTTCTGACCATTTCCAAGGACAGTTCTGCCACATCAACCAGAGTTTTAGCAACTTTGAATTTTAAGAGATGCGTGGAGAATTTGCTAACATGGAGCCTTTCCAATTCCGTTTTCTACTTGATATGTCTGAAAATCCATACCAGCAACCAATTTTTTTTTAAAGAGGAGATAGAGACAAAGAGACACAGAGAGAGAGAGAGAGGGTGAGAGAGAGACACGGACAGACTGAGACTCCAGCTGGGAAGAGAGGAAATGTTCCTTCACTTAAAACCAGGAGACACAGAACCTTGCTGGGATGTGTGTGGGATGTTGGTTTGTATTTTGTAAATCGTCTCAATCGTCTCCTGTCACTTGGGGACTCAGTCTCAGGCAAGAACTAACTGGCGTTGGTTGGTATCATCTCCTTTGTCCCTGAGTGGCATGATAAATGCAGGGGCTGGAGGCCTGGGGCAGGAGAGGAAGTGGGTAGAAAGGTGAGCTGGGCTACTCCTGGATTGGAAATGTTTGAGGTTCATGGGAGACGTGCACCCATTACTCATAAGGGCAGATAACCAACTGTGGGCCTTCTTATAGTCCCAGGTGGCAAAGATCTAGTCACCTGGGACTTTACAAAGCTGCTCTCTGCAGAGTGAGGGGTCCATCAAAGGGAAGGAGGGGGGAAACCATGGAAGGGAAAGTTGGGGTTCATTCAAGCGTTTCAGCCCCATAGGCCAGAGCTTCCAGATTTCCCTTTTCCCTCACTTCCAGACCCCAGTCTTTTCAGGGGCTGGGCAGTCTCCCCAGCTAGACAGACTCACCTTCACCTTCTACAATTCTGGTGGCCACCCCATCCTCATCTTTGGCCTCTCTTCCCTCCAGGCCCCTGGGCCCTCCGGATTCACCCTCTTCCTTGCACTTACTGGGGCAGAGGGGCTCCTCAGTCCTGCCAGAGCCCGGGGAGGCCACCCCAGCGCCCGTGGTGGGTCTCCCTGGGAAGAGTGGCCGGCTGGGGAGGGGAGTCTGCTTGGAAAACGGAGTTGGGAAGTTTCCCAGCGTGAGCTGAGCGCTGACGGATTTGTGATCAGCCATAAAACCGGCGCGTTCAGATTCGTAAATCAATCTTGCCTCTCTCGCAGAATGAACGTTCGCTTTATCGGCAGCAAGAAAGCGCTCAGCGCGCGCTCAGGCGCTTGTTTATTTGAACACGGACATTCCCAGGATCCGAAAAGAGTGTGGGCATTTTAACAGAAACTGCCCAGCGTGTCTTCGTGTCATTTTGCGGTTTCTTTTCCTTGCCCTTAAAGACAATTTCTCAGGTTTCAGAGATTGCTGTCTTCCCCTGCTCCTGCATATTGCTTCCAATTTCTCTCTCTCGCTCGCTCGCTCTTTCTCTCTCTCTCCTTTTTTTCTTTCAGACTTTAGTGGACTGTTTTCCTATAGGGGACCGTTTTTAATGCATTTGTGGCCAGGACCTTGCAAGGAGTTGCCCTGGCTGGAACCAGGCGCAGGGCCCACATCGGGAGCCCGCTGAATTCAATCCCAGTCTGTGTTTTGTATCGGGACAATCAAAGCCGACCACCCCCCTACAGAGTCTGGGCCCCGCCGGCGCCCCACCCGTGCGTCGTCGGGAGCGGGATTCCGAGGAGGCGGCCGGGGCCAAGCTGCCGCCACAGCTGGAATTTACGGGGGCCGCCGAGTGCGTGCGAGTGCAGGGTGGCTGTTTCTTTGCGGGTGGTTAAGGCATCTGGGTCCTCAGCCTCTTCCCCTTTGAGTTGTTTTTGGGTCAGACCTCTCCAAACAAACCAGTGGCGGCCCCGCGGCCCCTGCTCCCCTACCCTAAGCCGCATTGATTCTCTCTCGTGTCTGCTCCAGCCGGCGCGGCGGAGGCCAGGCTGCCCCAGTTGCTGCCGAAGATAAGACTGGGAATGTGCGGACAGGGGCTCCTGCAGGAATGTCTTTTCTGCTCCCCTTTGCGCCCCCACCCCACGCGATGGCCCAGGACTCCGATTCTGGTTGCTACTGGTCTGCTCATTCTGGGGCCAAGCTGTAAGTGAAGGTTTGGGGGATTTGGGTTTTTGTTTTTGTTTTTGTTTTGTTTACATCCGAGGTGAAGGACTGTGTGTCCGCTTCCCTCTCCAGGCCTAGGGAATGGATTTCCCCTATCATCCCTGTGTTTAACCCTTTAATATGCGACCCCCCTCCCCTTTGCCCATTGATCGGTCTCCATTGTCTGCTGATTGGGAGCTCAGGGTACTGACACCTGGGGAATAGGGACCCTGGGGCTGCCAGACTGACTTCAAAGCCTTGTCTTTCTTCCCTTTCCTTCCCCTCTAGTTCAAATCTTAAGCCGTCTTCCCTGGTGTGTCAGGGGTGGAGGGGGTCACCGAGATGGTGTGTGACATAGGTAGACCGAGCCTGAGTGCCCACTTCTTTTGTGTAGAAACCCTAGTCTGAGTCTTTGTGTCTAGAACATACTCTCAGTTGGTCAGTAGAATTTGATTCCTCGTGGTGGTAGTAACACAAGGGGGGGCGGGGAGTTCCCCTTGCGGGTATTCTCAGCTCTGGGAGCTCCAGAGTCGTCTCTTCATCCTGTCCCCTCTCTGCCCCTTCAAAATGTACCACAAAAGATCAGAAAGAGCATTAAAGCCAGAAGCCCCATTCTTCATGCCTATGTACCGCGGACTTGTGGGGAGTGCTTCTTTTGAAGCTGGTCCCTTTAGAAATGTTGTTGCTTTTTTAGGAGAGGGGGAGTGGGTCCCACTAAAATAAATATCCTAGGAGTGAGGGAGAGAATGGAGTTGGGGGGAATCCTAATCTTAAAGGACGCAGAGAGACGAGCTGGAAGCTGAGAAATCCAGAGGCTTGGAGCAGGGCTCTGCGCCCACCCCACCCCCACCCCCCAGACGCCCCTGCAGACTATTTCTGCACCTCCACGAACTAAGCAGAAGCAGGAGGAGAAGGGAGAGAGGAGAGGTGGGCTGTAGGTAAGTGTGTGTCTGGGCGGGGGTTGGGGGGAGGTTAGGGAGCCGTAGGTAGAGTAGGTATAGATGTGAATGTGGGAGACCAAGAACTTGCTACTCTTCCATTGGTGGGTTGGGGGGAACCTATTTTGCAGGAAAATTTCTCCTCCTGAAGGGGAAGGTCATAGTGGTCCTTTGAGTCTGAAATCGAAAGACCCCCTTCCCCCTCCTGGTCACGTGATTCATTAAATAATTAATGCCGAGGTTGCAGAATAGATATGTATTCGTCAGGAAAATCGCAGGCTCGGTCTCCCTGTTTCTGACGTGCAATTCAACTGTCCTTTGAAAAACAAGCCTGTACCCCGAGAAAAAAAAAAGAGAGAGGGGGAGAGAGAGGGAGAGAGAGAGAAAAAGAGAGGGAGGCAGCAATAAAACAGCCCCGCAGCCGGAGCCACACCGCGGGCTGGGGTATTGTAAGTAGAAGGGATTTCTCACTACCTACCGCGTCTTATGTGTCCATGTAAATTTAT